CTCACCTCGTAGTCCCAATGTCGTTGTCTCAGATGTCACGAAAACTCATAACCATCTCTCATCTGCAGTAGTCCCGTAGGAGAACCCAGACTAGACTGAGAAGGTAGGAAAGAGAGAGAGAGAGAAGAGAGAGAGAGAGAGAGTCGGAGGGCAGAGGAGCAGAGGGACAGAAGGCAGAGCCTTCCTCCCGGTACCTGGCTATGGCGCAGCAAGGCCGCTGTGCTGTCCCCTCCGCTGCTGCGCTCGCTGTCTCCTTGCTGCTCTGCCTCTCGATGTTGTGCTGCGCAAATCTGCTTAACGCTGCCAAGTTGCGCTAATCCTGGAGACTAACTTCGCCCAGACTAACCTCATACTAATCTACCGGATTGAGGCTGGTACTCAGCCTTTTGTAGGGCTGGACTGGCCTCTTGCCTACTGGTACCTACCGGACTGGACCGTTGATCCAGATCAACGGTCCTGTTTTGAAACTGGTTGGCGCCTAAATCGTGGCAGCCTCTGAAGCGCCGCTGGTGGGTCCTAGGCTGGACCGGTACCAGCCTTGTGGCCGTTCGGCCTGGGCCTGCCTGAACCGCCGTGGTCAAGGCCCCTCTGAGCCTCATTTGAACCGTCGGCCCTTAGGCTAACCCTGCCTGTCTGGAATCGGGCCCTCACTGGGGCCCGTGTGGCTCGGTATGCCACACACTCCCCCCCTTGAAAGACCGCCAAGCTAATTGCGAGGGCGAAGCTGTCTGTCCGATGTCCGCACAGGGCGGGCAGGTTGGGCAGCTTCCTTAGCAAGTCGCTGTTTTTCGTAATACGCGAAGATGAGGGGTGCTGTTGCCTTCAGATCAGCTCTTGAGATCCAGCGTGTGTCGTTCCGATCGCATTGCTTGAATGTAACTTTATACTGCATCGACTTGTTGCCATGATTGCGATGCGTGAGAACGCGATCGACCTCCTGATGACCATCCATTGAAGGAGGGTCCTGTGACCGTCTGCCCGGGAAGTCCGCGGCGGAGGCTGGAGTGTAAACTGCCAGCTTTGAAGCGTGAAAGATCGGGTGGACCGTCAAATGCGGGGGAATCTCAACGATGAA